CACGTTTCTTTTATTATTTTAATCGCGAAAACGTACGATGTTCCTANNTATATATATATATATATATGTATACTGAAAACAGACAAAAGCAATATAATGAAACATAATTTAAAATATAACATTGAAATTTTATTATGATAACACTTATGTTAATCAAACGATGATCATTAAAATAATTATTCAAAAAATATATATATATATTTAAAAATGCTTATCAAATAAAATTCAAAATACAAAAAGAGAAACAATCTCATCATTTTTTCATCTTTCAACGCCTTTACGTTTGATAATTTATATAATCAAACACAAACGATCATTTAAGGCACCTTACATACAGGAACATCGTTATTTTTATTCAAGATGAAATGATAAAGATTACGATAATCCAGGCGACACAAAAAGTTTGCCCCAAGAGTCTCGCCTCGTAGTCCCTAGTAAGGTAGAAAATCAAGCCAAGTATATATACTTTATTTATAATATATATCCCTCCTAAAACAACCTAAAACCTAGCCTACGTATATTTTTTATTTTTGCGTTTAAAATTCATTCGAATTGTACATACAGACACTGACGTTTAGAATTATGTACAGACATGTACACGGATTATGTACACATAGAGTTGATGATCTCTAACGTTTATCATTGTTAGTCGAATAATAATCCTCTTCACTCCCCTTCTCACGCTTCTTTCTCCTTTTCATATTTTTCATTCATATTTTAATAAATAAACGCTTTCTACCGCGTGTCTGTTCGTTCGATGCGCGTACATACATATATATATATATATATATATATATATATGTATAATGTATTCATGGCTGTATGTATATAATCAATTATGTTACAGTNATATGTATAATATGTATATATGTATATATATATATATATATATATATATATATAATATATTAAAATTTATTCTGACACAAATATAGTTAATATATATATTATATATATATTTAAGTAACAGAGGTAACAAAAATCTTGGGGAGCTTCAACAAATCTACGAACGTTTTCTCTTGACAATTGATCGCTTACTTATCGACATTTAAATACGCTAATTTAATTTTAAACTAAGTAGAACTAGAGCGAACGTGCAACAAGTCGTATTAATTTTAGAACGACGGATTCCGGTTCACGGATCATCATCTTTTCTTAAAATAACGAAATTCTTCGATTCAATTTTTCTTTTTCTTTTTCTTTTTTTTCTTTTTTCTTTAATTCTGATCTCATTTTTCTTAAAACTAAAACAAATTTTGATCACGTTACGTCCTTTTTTTCCCCTCCCATCGTTGAAAAATATTCGAATAGAAATATTTTTACCATCTCTAGAGTAAATCTTCTCCAAAGATTTAAATTTTCAAGTTTTGATTCTAGATGGATTAAATATTTCGATTCGTGAGCCGATTCCCGTGAGCGCATATATATATATATATATGTATAATAAACAGAGAAGAATAAAGGAAAAGAAGTAAGAGTAAGGAAAAGAAAGGCAAATGATTTAAAAAAAAGAATGACAAGGAGGGCAACAGGTAACAGTTGTAATGTCTTGTGGCACAATCCAGGAAACATTTCACGTGCGTATATAGTCATAATAGGTACACATCGAAAACCACGAATAATCGTGACCAATTCCCCCATTCAACTCGTCCAATTAATTTTTAGCCCCTGTTAATTACCTACTAATCGAGAAAAATAAAAAGACTTGAAGAAACAAATATCGACGTATACATTGACGTTCGCGTGAGAGCTCTAGAATATTTTTAGGTTCATCCAATATTATTACGATATCCTCTTCGAAGAAACGAAAATGAAATTAAAAAAAAAAAAAAGACAAAGAAATAGAAAGCTTGCACGTTCGATTATTATCCCATCGACGATCCAATCGATCGATTTTGATCGGTGGCCGTCGCGACGTTTCGTCCATTCCACGTTTCTAACACGAACAGAAGGACTTCCGTTACCCTGTCTCCTCGTTGAACAGAGCTTCGACTACGGCTGCGAAGTACAACTCCCTCGAGGGACCTCTATCCCCGTTTCGTCTCGATTCTGTGTGTTTAGATTTCTTCGAGGGAAAAAAAAAAAAAAAAAAAAAAGGAAAAAAAGAAAGGAAAAGAAAGAAGCTAGAATCGATTCTGGCCAAAGAGTTTGTTTTTCGATCAACGATGATAGAGGTACCTCGCGAGCTTCATCTTTCGATGCACGCGTTTCGCACTTCTATATGTATGATCGCGTAGGTATTTAATTTATGGTGTATGGCTGGCCTGGCTGCAGAGAACACGCGGGATTTCGC